CTACACCCAGCTGGTATGGGGGTCCACGGCGGAGTTGGGGTGTGGGTTTGTACAGTGGGTGACTGATATAGAGTACGAGTATAAACTTGTGTGTAATTATGTCCCCGGGGGCAATCTGAGGGGGGTGCGGGTTTACAGAAGGGGGGAACCATGCTCTGGATGTCCTTTGTTCACCAAGTGTAGCGAAACGTATCCTGGTTTGTGTGCGGCTCACGATTGGAGTAGAATTGGGGACGTTAAGACAGTAGATACCGAAGAGAAGCAAAAAGACATAATTGATCAAAGAGAAGAATGCGATAAAGAAGATAAAGACGAAGACGAAGAAATTGAAGAAGAAGAAGAGGCCATTGAAAGCCCCATAGAAGACACCATACACCCCATGGGTAGTGACGTTAGTGTTGGTGAGGAGGAAACTATAGAAAATGACTCCGGAGGCCATGGCCATGCTCTAAGGTCATTTTTAATCGTGACAATTTTTACCGTAATTTTAAACTGTTATTTATTGTAAATGGTGACTGTTAATTAAGGGAAACTCTGATTTAAGGTAATGTTCACCTATTATATTTCACTCAAATACATAGTAGTGAGATTAGTCGGTTTAGATAAATTGTAGAACCATGTTTAGATTTTTTAGTAAAAAGAATTGGAAAAATCTTCCAGTTGCGTTTTTTACTTGTTAATCATTAATCATTTCTCAAATCAAATTCATCTGGTGCAGAAGGTTGATTCAAAGCTATTGTCATTGATTTACAAGCTTGGAGACATTTACAAGCTTGGTGTTAACAATTTTGGTTAATCAATTTGCTATCTAGGTGATTTGCCAAGCGTCCTAGACATAATTTAGACTTTAAGAACGTACGCTAAGATTTAACATTACGCTTTCAATTTTGCTTTGGTACATCGATTACATCAATATTACATCAATTAATTGTCATCAGAGCACTTTGATGACGATTTAAGTAAAATATAGTGGGTCAATTTTCATACTGAAAAAACATTATCTTTAACCATAGATAAAAGGAGTATTTAACATGGGAATCGGGGAAACATGGGAAATTTTCATTCAAATTGAACTTGGTTAAATCTCACTCACAAAGTGTACTCACCTTTGTTAATTGATGTGACATTATCCATTATCATTTTGAGATGGGGACGCCACCTATGTGCGTATGTCAACCCAAAAAGTGGAGGATGATTTTAGAATGGAGTAAGATGCCTTCTGTAGTTTTGTTACTGACCAAGACCAGCATTTCCATTAAGTCAGGACCATTTACTGAGCCCAATGATCAAGGAAGGCTGGGGCCATCAAATAAATACATTTGACATAAAATGGTTAAGTTGATAGTGTGCTCTCCTTTCGATTTGTATCGTTAAAAGTTCTCGTATATGAAATCGTGCAATGATTAACATCAACTATGCCGGTTACACTTTATTCAACTACTATACCTTCATTGTTATGTTAACATTGGCTACAGCTTGACACAGAAATTGGATGTCTACATCAATATTCAATGCTACAACTCATAAAGTACCAATCATAAATACACGGAAGGAAGGTCCATATGATTTGTAGACCGCAGTGACGTTCATGACGCAATGGAAACCCCGAAATTTCACTTCCAGCTGACTCCTAGACCATTGTTGGTAAGTCAATGTCATAGAGGAAAGTAGGGAACGCCCAACCATACAACATACAGCTTTCTTTTGGAATTTCACTTGATGCACTCTCTGCTATCTGTTCTGCGGGGATTTCCAAAACATCGTCCGTTAGCGGGGAAATACCAAAAACTGAGATAGTGATACATTTACGTGCTATGTTTTATCACTGACTCGTGCAATGATATCTCTGTATTTGGTTTGGCCTTTTGTCAGCAAAGATGTATTATTTCACAGCTGGTGTTAAACGCGTTCAGCAAATTTATGCGGGGAATAATCCATAATCGGATTCATTGTGTTAAGACCTGGTGGAGAGCCGTTACAAACATACTGGTCCCTAAAATAGAAAAAAAACCTTGAATGTCTTAAACTAATATCTATGATTTTGATAATTAACAGACAAATCCATACCTGTATTTCATTTGAAAGCCCGATTCACCAGATGACGTAGGTAAAAAATACTTTTTAATATTTTAATAATTTCGTATTTTACATGTCTGCACGCTATTGGGTATTGAGATGCTATTACAGTACTGTAGTAACATATTATAAAATCCTCATGGAGAATAAATAAATTCCTATCGCTTGTGCTATGTCTCTCCTGTCATGTTGATATTTTTACAATTTACTGTTTTTCTAGTAGCAGCAAACGTTAGAACTCATTGGACAAATATTAATTTATACTGACCGTTGGTCCAAGTGTAAATTTTCTTTTGATGCAAATCAGTTAAAATAAACAGTCGATGGACCTAATGTATTTTCGTTCAGTCCGAAGGTTTGCTGCGACGAGGGTTAAACTATTTTTACTGAATAAGATGACAAAGATATGGTATTAAATCTGGTGACGCTTAAATTATTCTAATAGAAAGTTGATTTTAAAATTATTTAAGTTAATCTTAGGCTATATATTAAAAAAACTTTTGCAAAACGTATGACAGATACCCTGACCATACTACTGGACCGAATTACACGTGGGTTGTACCAAAAGAAAGGTTATCGGTCCTATATGTACAGGTTTTAATTGTATTTTGAAAATATTTATGTTAATTGGGTCAAAAATGGAAATTAACTTTTACTATGGAGATTTAACATGGGGCATGGGGTTAATTCTATATATTTAATAGACAAGCATGTTTATTGAAAACCTTTTTTTCAGCTCCTGTCCATGGCAGGGAAAATATACGCATAGTATTAGAAAGATATTTGCCTGTAGATGTGCAAAATCCCTTTGTAAATTAAAATAGACTTAAAAAACACAAAAGATAATTAACAACCAATTAACAACAAAATATGAACAGAAAATCAAAACAAATGGAAAAAATTACATTCACATGTTTTATTTACAGCGTGGGGTGAAAATAGAGAAGTTTGCACAATACATTTTTGGTAGAATTTTCAACCACGAGGCGAGCTCTAGTACAAATAAAAATATTTGAAATTCATGAATACACTTTGAGAAAGTGTTCCTGCAATGATAAGGCAGGCTTCATCCAAACCATATCTGACCGAATAATTGCCCACAGACGTTTGAAGGCAGTTAGATACAGCGTTACAGCATAGTTCAAGTTAATTACTGCAATACAGTAATCCTTTTAACAAAGATCGCGTCACTCATCCTACACTCAACTCCATTAATACTCGGCTTAAAATACCTACATTCGTATGGTTGCAATTTCAGAATAAAGTATTGAAGTATTAAGTACGGTATTAAATATGGTTTGATGTAAAATTCATCGTTGACAAGCTGCGTAAGCATAAAATAAACACCAATTGGTGTTTACAGATGTCGACTATTTTTTCTCTCTTAATTCAGGAGACATTTTTCGATTTGTGGTATACCGTAATACCAAAGGCGAAGCAAAAGTCTACAAATATAATTATAATCTTTTACAAATAGAATTTTACTCAAATAACAAGAAACAGATAGTTTACAACAATCACCCATGATATAAAACGAGTAGAATGAAACACCTGAAAATTATAATCTTTCAAAATTTTCTTGTGTGGTCCTCTTGCCTTCTCCTCACCTACCCCAATATCACAAATACCCCAATGTTCTCATCTCCGGTGGTATTTTCATGTCTGCTCCTATCATCATCTCCTCCCCTAGGACCCCAATATCACAAATACCCCAATGTTCTCATCTCCGGTGGTATTTTCATGTCTGCTCCTATCATCATCTCCTCCCCTAGGACCCCAATATCACAAATACCCCAATGTTCTCATCTCCGGTGGTATTTTCATGTCTGCTCCTATCATCATCTCCTCCCCTAGGACCCCAATATCACAAATACCCCAATGTTCTCATCTCCGGTGGTATTTTCATGTCTGCTCCTATCATCATCTCCTCCCCTAGGACCCCAATATCACAAATACCCCAATGTTCTCAACTCCGGTGGTATTTTCATGTCTCCTCCTATCATCATCTCCTCCCCTAGGACCCCAATATCACAAATACCCCAATGTTCTCATCTCCGGTGGTATTTTCATGTCTGCTCCTATCATCATCTCCTCCCCTAAGACCCCGATATCCCCCCCCCAAACTCATGATTATATGTTACATACATATAATTCCTCTACCCGCAACCCGACCCAACCAAAACCTAACCTCCCTTTCCGAAAACCACAATCCAACCGTAAAACTATCCTCAATAAACAAATACCACTCAACCCAACCACAACCGGCAGCGGGGGCAGAATAGCGCTTCGTTATTACACACTCTCGTTATTTACACGTCTCCGCTACTGCTGCTATCCTTTCCCTGGCTGAAGAGGACTATGTCCTAAAACAGCCTCAGTCCAGTAGGGTTTCAGCTCTCTGGATTGGAACATCACGAAGAACAAACGAATCTCAACTCCGGTGGTATTTTCTTGTCTGTTCCTCTCGCCACCTCCTCGCCTATGTGACGGGTAGTCACCAAAAATTATTTTCTAAATTTTGGGATTATATTTCAAAAGTAAAAGACCTGGTAAATGGATTTCTCAATGCATATACCAGTGTCAGAACATTGCCATTTAGTAGACAGAATTCTTGATGACACGTAGCTTGCTCAATCGACCGACCCACAAAAACCGTAGACTTAGCAATTGTACTTTGGAGAGACTGAGGTTGGAGTTGACCGAAAGGAAGACACTTGGCCTCAGTCTATTCACGGGGACACTTCGCCGGTCACCGGGTTTTTGGTAAGGCGATTACTTTATTAATATTTCAACTTTAAAAAGACCCCAATATCACAAGTACCCCAATGTTCTCAAGCCTGCTGCTACTTCCTTGGCTCGCTACCCCTTTGTTACACCGTCAATTGATGTCGTCAGCGATTCAATGTGCTGCGCGGGTTGCCTCTGCTACTTTCGCTGATCATCTTTGCCAATTCTAATCCTGTACACGTGGAGGCCTAGAGCGCATTCTGCCGGACGTCGCCGACACTACCGTAAGTAGAATTATTCACTTTGGTAATTAAAATTGCTTGAGAAAAATTTAAACGTTAAGGAATGACAATTATCTCTAACTATAATGTATAAGATATCAGAAATCTTTGTGTAAGAACACAATTTTACCATTGTTGTTGTGAAAAACGCGTTTTGATTGTATTTAATCCCCAACTACCTCAAGGTCACTGTTGTGTTTCCCAAAATTAAATGTAAATTTGAGCTACTAAACATTTTACTCTATATAGCTTGGAAAACGCAAATTTAAGTAAACACATCAAAAATATATGATTTTGTTAATTTCTAAAGCGAACTTCGGATAAGGAAAATAAAAATACATACAGTTTTAAACAGTATACTTACCGTGCTATTCTTAAAATTATAGTCATAGAGAAATAATAATTTAATATATTTAGGTGAGCAGTTGTATGTTTCATCAAATGCCTACAATGACCTTTTTTGTCTACCCCAATGCGCCGCCGCAGTTTTTAATTTATGCAGTTCGTTTTGATTTCATCATCATTGGATTGTTACATGTGAAAAAAATGGTTGGAAAACATTTTAAATTATTTTTGGACTTAAATACATTATTCCTATAATTATTTATGTGTCAAAGTGTTTATTTTAAGCTGAACTTTTTGAGCAAGAACGCAGTTTTTAGAAATTTGTGAGATTACTTGTGTAACTTTTTACCGACTATGATCAGCTATTTCTGTAGCCAAGACCATTTATTTAAGACCCAATGATAAGAACAGCTTTTGGACAAGGACATAGGCCTACATGTGTGTATTTTATGGTTAAAATTAGTGGAATTATGAGTGCATAAACTTGTAAATGCAATGTGTCATTTTTGCTTGTGACATATATCAGCTGATTTGGAAGCCAGGACCATTGAGTTAGGTAACCCTCAATGATTTATATTGCCTTAAAATCATAAAATCATGTTGTTGCACCACAACAACAATGCTACAACTTACGTGTATTTTTTATGGAAAAAAATAAAAATCTCCAAGAAAAAAACAAACAATATTGTAAACAATAGACAAGAGCTACATATTATTGGTGAAATTATGACAGTCATCATTTGTTCAAATTGCTTATGATTGTCGATGTGTTTATTTACTTTTATGAAACAAATTAACCAAAAACTCGACGACACACCTGATCTACTCAGGTTTGTGACAATGTTGTGGGAATGGGCACACGGAAGGGACTAAGGCTAAAGGTGTAGTGACGTCATATCTCTAGTGGTTAATGTCTTCTCTTGAGGCGACACGATTACCGTAACGAAACGATGTGATTTCAGCGGCGTTCGTGGCATAGTTGGTAGCGTTTCGGATTGATGTTCAGGAGGTCTGGGGTTCGAAACCCGCTGGCAGCACTAACTTTTTGTCAACAAATTTTTCATATCAGCAAGTTTGGTTGGTTAGGTTAGGTTATGACAGTTTAATTTTATAATACTAAATTTTAAAATTAACTTTATAATTAATTAAAAATTATAAGTAATCATTAATTAGATTTTTATCTTATATAGTTTTTATATTATCAGCAAGTCTGGTTGGTTAGGTTATGTTATAACAGTTTAATTTTAAAAATTAAAAATTTATTTTATAATTTTAAAACAATATTTTATAATTAAAAAGTTAATTTTATAACAAAAAATAAAAAATTAAAAATTAATTTAAATTTTTTCAACTTAGCAGTCCTAGCGGCGAACGCTGACACTACAAGATATGTTAGCCTTAGTCCCTCCCGTGTGCCCCACCGCAATATTGTGGCATATTTTGCTAACCACACAGAGCTCAATGTTTGTCGTATGATTAGTAGTTGGTATAATTAGTTGCTGTATATTTAGCCACAAGAGAAATGCTCTTCAACTCAATCGTGAATAATATCTTGCTGAGGGAACGTATGTTTATTTTGTTTCATTTAGAACACTATCGTGTTGATTTTTAAACCAGAAACATTATAACTGTCTTTAGAACACAATGTAAACTACTTATTGATTTTTGAGATTCATTTGGTTTTAGACCACTCTTCCTCTAACTTGGACTTCCGTGTACAAATATGAGTCGTTTCTCTGTTGAATTTTTGCCTTGCTGATGAAATAGCTTGTCACACTAAATCATTGTTGAATGCCACCTTTGTTGTTTGCGGCTGGGTTTTCCAAGCAATAGAATAGCTATCCGATGAGCAGAGAGCTCTATTGGAACTACAGTATGGTTTTAGTTATCTGTCCACAAAATAGATCAATCAACTCTTCCTAGAAGTCGAAACAAACATTTACCGTCCTTTGTTGTTCGTGGTTTGAAAATCCAATGAATCACATTGTTTCCTAGTGGAGTAAAATCATCGACTTTGGATAAAACAAATTGAACCTTTCAGGCCGAATTGCAGCATTGTGTTGCTTCAACTTTAATTCGATCTATGCTTACATTGGTTAATTGAGAGCGAAAATAAGACAGTTTAAATTACAAAAAATTTTTATAAATAAGGACTTGTGCATTACAAATAACATCATGCATAGGGAAATTCTTACTGCTGAACATTCAATAGTTATTTGTAATCGGTGGGTTGAGTTCTGGCACAATGTTCTGCTATATTGCCCAACTTCTTCAATTAGACTAGAATTATTGCCAAATTACTGCTCACATACGGTTTGTATTGTCTAAGGACATGCTTAACCACTCAAGGCGACAGATTAAAATCCAACATTTTGGAGAATGTTTTGCTACTTTATTTTTACAGGTTTAAGCTAGTTTTGGATAGCACGTCCTATCTCTCAAGAAAGCAAAAGTCAGTGCACATTGCGCAATCTTCATAAATGATTATCCCACACTCAACAAACATACAATATTTTAAACTTGTTCCAAGCTTTAGAGCAACAAGCTTACAAGTTTAAATTAGCCTTGTTTTAAGCTTTGAAGTTTATACTTTTCCTACCTAAGCTTGAGATTTCAAACCAATCCCAGATCCCAAGTCTGGGGATCAGGCTTAAAGCAGTCTTACGATAACACGCTAATAACAGTACCGTACTCTAAAACAAGCTTTGATGACCAAGCTTTAAACCGGCTTACTACTAGTTTCTTTATCATCAGTATCCATATTGAATTTCAGCCTATACAAGACCGATGTTAATTGAGTAGCCTTGCTCATGACCAAACAAGTTGTCATAAAAAATGGATTTTCCTACAGTCACTCGACAAAGTGGGCTTCCTTGCAGTTGCACAGATTATAGTACAGCCAGCCTTACTCTTTGGCGCACAGTTTTAATTTATAGGGAAGTACCTAGTGTTTTTCGCACTATATTTATGTCTAATTTTGAAAATCAACGTTTTGAGGTTCAATTTTGAACGTTAAGCAGTATACAAACAGCAGTAAACCGATAGATTAATTGGATAAGTTACTAAGAAACTTTTTCTATTTGTGTTTTTAACGCTATGGACATTTACTAACGTTTTTTCTTTTGGGAAAAGTCAAAATCGTGGTTTTGTTAATAATTAGCATCAACCTTTGGTTGGTTTGCGTCATTAATTGTTAGCCACAGTGACAAATGACTTGGCTGAGTCTAAAATCAATCTCACTCGGGGCCAATCATTATAGCAGCCTTCGGATTTGAAGGGAAGCACTATACAATCAAGACTTAAGAATTTGTATTAATCAGGTGCCTATACTTCATGCAATATGGATGAAATTAATTTGAATATACTGATAATCAATTAAACAGGCAAGAGAAGAGCGGTAGTACATGAAACAAGCGCACTAAAATGCCTAGTGAGGTCTTGACTATAACCACACAGCACAGCTACACAGACAATTATATGGGCTTAAGTTTACATGGAACATTAATCCATACTGAATCCATACCTTGCCTATAACTGTTTTAGATAAATGGCGTTGTACTTTAAAACGCTATTTCCATCTAAAAATTTGAATTTATGAAATCGTATTGTAGTAAAATAAAATAAAGAATTGTACAAAATTGATGACTCTGCCATGTGTATTACGAATGTACTGCATGAATGAGTAATGGTGACTAGTTAGTGTATTATAAAATCAAGGGAAACCAAACTGCACAGCGTTTAAAACTTTATACATAGATGTTTGATCATTATGCGCATCAATCATTATGATCATTATCATTGATCATTGATCATTATGTTTGATCAACTTGCGCGGAACAATATTAATTTATTCATAGTTTCAGCGAATTTTTATACTTTTAATTTGCTTACAAGAGGTCGTCGCCCTTTAGAAGCCCTTATTTACATATTGTAATCGACTTTTTGTCAGAACTCCGAATAACAAAATGTAATGCATTTGCGATGCTTCGCTTTATGAGACTTGGAACGCATAAAGTGTGAAGTGGGTTTAGGAACCATGTGACTGCCTTGATGCGCTCACTATTGAATACATATTTAATATATCATTTCTAGCTTTGAAAGTTGCCTAATTTTATTGAAGCACAATACTGCATGAGCTGCTGGGCTAAAATCAAGAACAGTAGTATCATTTCAGACACATTTTTTGTTATCGAAAGTGTTTTTAACGTTTTAAAAAGTCTACTAAAAACGTATAGTATTGTTTTTTAGACTTCATGTTCGTTTTAGTGCATGCATGCATACAAGTTAGGATTCTTCTGCACAAGACTTTTTTATAACAATTGTGAAATATATCTGAATCTTATAAATTTGATCGATTTATCGAGGGGGGAAAATGCAAAATAAACCAAGAGAAAGCTAGCCTAAATACGGTAATTGATTTGAATTAATGTACACAGATACTCTTTACTTGTACTGTTTTTTTTATCTTGTTAATTCTCTGCTAAACATAGCCGTCCTACCTACGTTTGTATCTATAACTAGCTGTAACCCGCGGGCTTTGCCCCGTTTAACTTCTTAATTTTCAAGATTATCTCGTTCGCATGGCTCAATCACGTCCTGGTTGAAGTTTGTTCGCTACGCTCACTCACCTTTAGGTTGGAGCTCGTTCGCTACGCTCACTCACCTTTAGGTTGGAGCTCGTTCGCTGCGCTCACTTGCCTTCAGGTTAGCTCGTTCGCTACGCTAACTCGCCTCCAGGTTGAAGTTCGTTCGCTACGCTCACTCACCTTTTGGTTGCAAATTAGCTGTTGTCATAAATGTAAAAGAAATAATAGTGCTGCACTCTGTTGGTAATCCTTGTAACTTTAATGCTATTGAACATCATAGAACAGAACCAACTTGTTTAATTGAAACAGCTGTTAAGATTCAATAATTCCATTTCTCATAAGGTTAACATGGGAAACTCCAGAGCCACTGGGGCGGAGCCCGAAAGGATTTTTGAAATAAGAATATGCCTATATGTTAATCGGGAATGTGAGCTATCATCATGCCAAATTTCAGCCCAATCCGACCAGTATTTTTCGAGTTTACTTTTCCCATACACACATACACACATACAGCAACCACCTCTTTTAGCGAATTTCCCATATAGGGAATAAGCTATTACCGTAGTACTCATGGTAAGACCTGGACGCGGGACCGATTTTTTTTTTCGTTTTGAGGTCCCTATAGGCCAAAAACACCATCCGTTCAAATTCATATATATATATTTATATATTTATATATATATATATATATATATATATATATATATATGTGTCCGTTAGCACGATAACTCGAGCAAAAATGATCCGATTTTGATGAAATTTGGTACAAACGTGTAAACCTACGTTTATTCGAACGAGTTCGCGATCCAGCATGATCGAACCATGGGAACGGGGGTTTACGGGGGGTTTTATGGGGTAAAAATGGGGTTTTCCCATTTTTGACCCAAAAAACATAAAATTTAGCAATTTCTTTCCAAACCATTCTGTAGAGCTTAAAAAAACAAATAATTTAGTATATTGAAGCGTTATTATGCGCCTAATGGTTACGGAGAAAATTCCAAAAAATTGTAAATTTTAAATTCCCATGTTATTCTTATGGAGAATAAGAAAACTGTTGTAGTTTGCTTGTTTATGAAAATATTTTGATCAAATTTGGAAAATGTTTTTATTTCTTACCAACTATTAACATTTTACAAAAAAAAACAGTTTTACCCTCCCTGATGCAGCAAACCTAAGTACTTGTTAAACTAATTCTATTTAAATAGGGAATAAATGTTATATTTTAAAAGTAGACATTTCAGTGTGAATCCAATCAGTCAAATGGAAATTCGCTTAGTCTGCAGGTTTGCTGCGGCGGGGGTATTTTATAATAGTATAGATATATAGATAGATAGATAAATAGTCCTACTAATACGATCATTTACGTGTAAAATTAAGGTGTTGCACGATTAGGTACAACTTATAAAGTGGCGGAAGAGTGACGATAAAAAAACCTATTTTAATTATGAACCAGTCACTAAGGCTATCAATTGTTACAGGTGAAACAGGTAGAGGTAACAGGAAGATGCTAACCATTAGCATGATTTATTGACAGAGCTGTACCAAGTATCTCACTCATCCCAGTCTCATCAAATATTCATATGTAGCTGGGTGATTAAAGTGCTCGCCTTGCTATCAAAAGATCACGGCTCTATCCGAAAAAAACGTCAGAATATTTTTGTTGGTTTGAATTGCGAAGCTTGCTTCATAATTGGGGTTTTTAATAAATGGTCCTGACTAAAGAAATGGCTGGTCTAAGTCTACAACAAAGCTGGACACTCCATTAAACGCTCATAGCATTCATATTCAGCTTAAAATACACAATTGTAACGTTTTATAGGTTTTGATGATGTCTTAAAATTAAAAATGCAATTTTAACTACAGTATAACTCTTAAATATACCAGGCACCACCTTTTAAATGCCCCCGTCGCAGCAAACCTGCATACTAAGCGAATTTCCATTTACCCGGCTTGATTTCTACTAAAATATTCCCTATAAATTTTCAGATTTATTTCCTATTTAAATAACATTAATTTTAGTGAGTAGTTAGGTTTGCTGCTACGGGGAAGATGTTGAGATGTGTTTTTGATAGCTTAGTATGAAATAAACCAAATTGCCAAATTTGATTAAAATATATCCATAAACAAGTAAACTAGAACAGTTTATTTATTCTCCATAAGAATAACATGGGAATTTTAAATTTACATTTTTTTAAATTTTCTCCGTAGTCAATGAACATTCAAAAACACTTCAATATACTAAATTATTAGTTTTTTAAGCTCTTCGAAATGGTCTAGAGAGAAATTTAGAAATTTTCAGTTTTTAGGGTCAAAAATGAGAAAAACCCATTTTTACCCCATAAAACCCCCATAAACCCCTGATCCCATGGTCCGATTATGCTGGTTCGCAAACTCGTTCGAATAAAAGTAGGTTTACACGTTTGTACAAAATTTCATCAAAATCGGATCAATTTTGCTCGAGTTATCGCGCTAACGGACACATATATAAATAAATATATATATGTATATATATATATATCTAATATATAAAATTCTCGTGTCACAGTGTTTGTCTGCAAACTCCTCCGGAACGACTTCACCGATCGTTATGAAATTTGGTGTGTAAATTCTGTAGATATGCGAATCGGACGTAAACTATTTCCCGTTTCGAAATTCTTAAAAGGGCTCCGCCCCAGTGGCTCTGGAGTTTCCCATGTTAACCTTATGAGAAATGGAATTAATGAATCTTAACAGCTGTTCAATTAAACAAGTTGGTTCTGTTCTATGATGTTCAATAGCATTAAAGTTACAAGGATTACCAACAGGGTGCAGCACTATTATTTCTTTTACATTTATGACAACAGCTAATTTGCAACCAAAAGGTGAGTGAGCGTAGCGAACGAACTTCAACCTGGAGGCGAGTTAGCGTAGCGAACGAGCTAACCTGAAGGCAAGTGAGCGCAGCGAACGAGCTCCAACCTAAAGGTGAGTGAGCGTAGCGAACGAGCTCCAACCCAAAGGTGAGTGAGCGTAGCGAACGAACTTCAACCAGGACGTGATTGAGCGATGCAAACGAGATCATCTTGAAAATTAAACGTAACGGTACTTTCTTTCCATCGGTCTGTCTTAGGGGAAACCTAAAACTTAGGCGATACGAAGTTCGCCGGGTCAGCTAGTATATATATATATATATATATATATATATATATATGAATTTGAACGGATGGTGTTTTTGGCCTCTGGGGACCTCAAAACGAAAAAGTAAATCGGTCCCGGGTCTAGGTCTTACCATGAGACCTACGGTAATAGCTTATTCCCTATATGGGAAATTCGCTAAAAGAAAAGATTACAGTATGTTTGTACTAATACTATAATTCAATAATGGAATGGCCATAAAAACTAATGCCAAAAGCATATAAAATTGACCCAATAAATTGCATCGCATATGGTACACAACAATAGTCATGGTTGGAGGGTTTAGGGTGGTTGGTCGATATGGGTTGAAACTGGGCGGGAGCTTAGATACCACCCTAAACCCTAACAGCTAACATCTCAGTCAGGTGTACGCAGGCATAGTGGATACAGTTAGTCAATGTACCGTGCTAGTTACAATCAGCTGGGCCCATTGTTGGATCAGCTGTTTTGGTATTGTTAACCATACTATCATTTCGTGTATTATGGTCATACACAATTTTACGTTCTATACGTATTGATTCAACAATTTTTCCTTCAATCATGTAAGTTCATGGGTTAACGTTTTCATAATTTATCTGGCATTTTTTTGTTAATTATTCATAGTTGATAAGTGGATCAAAATTTATTCGATTCGACGGCCTATTTGATATAGCCTCAATTCACTACTTATAACAAAATACAACAAGGAAAACCCAAAACGCAGTATGTATACTTGAAATTTCTACCTAAACTTACTTTGTACGTTACTTGAACCGAAATTAAACTTAGTCCTACTAAATTGAGAGGGCACTAAGTGAGTTGTTTGTTTTAACCATGAAAAACACATCCCACTTATATCTCTAGTGTAATCTTATTGACATTGTACTCACGTTTCGTCGCTTGGGAGACATTGCCTCCTCAGAGACTTTTAATAGCTTAGTTTTACCCTTCCACTGATCACGCCTCGGCATGTCGTTGCCTAGGGCTCCACCCCACCGGCTAGACAAGATGTCCAGCTCCTCTAGCCAGTGGTCAGGCTCGTGTCTGCGACGATGGCTCCAGGACAACCTCTTCCTGATAGCCACCGCCGCAGGAGTCCTCGGAGGCCTCAGTACAGGTTAGTGAGTTTTGCTCGACTTTGCATGGATAAATGCTATGAAGCCTTAATGTTCCAGCTCAATTCATGGATTATTGTCAGTGGGGATGTTTCATATGTAACTTACTGTCTGTAGGTTGAAGAGCTTTTTGTTTTTTGATGTCCTTACTAAAAATCAAATGAGTCCAGTTTACAATTTGTTGGATTACTGACTACAATGATTATTCATTAATAACATAGAAAATGTCGTTAAAAAGTACCGGTACTTATTTACAACTGATCTAGCTTTTAGCATGTCAAAAACCCCTTATTTTGATATAATATCTAAAATGATTTTATATAGATTCACATACAACATGAAGTACGGTGCAATTAGACCTAAACCTCAAACATCGGTTGTTTCCATTTAGTGCAGAGCGTACAATTAGCCAAAAAAGGCCTAACCTCAACATCCAAAGTGAAAGCTAACCTTTGACTCCAAACTGTTCTATAGTCCCCTAATATTTGGTAAAAAGGTACACCATTTTATGAGTCGTGCTTGTGGAAAACGGGGGTAACAATTGAAAAATTCGTAGTTTTTTGGTTTTAGGAAATATTTTGAAAACTGTTTACTTTAGAGCTAAATATATCAAAAGCATAATCTACAACAAGAATGGTCCTTTTCATAATTTTGAAACAATAAAGTTACAGTTTGGTGAAAGTGTTAGTTTTTTATGGCAAAACATTGGCGCCCTCAAGTTCAATAACCATTACCAGGTTTACCAATATAAGTTTTAAACCTATTGAATTATTTCCAAATCCCCTGTGTTGGACAAGGTGATTGTCTGATGAGTTGGCATGTTTTGTTATTTATTGTTACAAGTAGGGACATGAAAAATGGTTTTGCTCACCCATCACTTACAATGTTGGCAATGGTAGTGTCCCATTGCCAATCCGTCTATGAATGAAATATAACTGAATGTTCAGTGAGAACCTACCTCTCAATCTTACACCATGAACGAAGTTTGAAAATGAAAGAATTTGACACATAAGTAAATAGTTTAGCAAAAAAGAATGAACTAAGCCTATATGAAATTTCCAATTTTTTTTAGACCAAAGTATTATAAATTCGTTATCACCATTACATTAAACATCCATCTCGTAGATTTTATAAGATGACAAAGTCATGTCTAGGACGGCAATAACTTATTCCTAATGGGAAATTCGCTAAAAGAAGTACCTACAATTCTTTTATTGTGCATGTAATAGGAGCAATATGTTGTTTATTTATTCAAAGGTTTTGTTTCTCTTAAAGTTAGGGGACCATGCCATACCCTATAAAACTTACAATTGGTGTTATTCTTTATAATTTGAAGCTATCATTTCAGTGGGCTTACTTGCTTTATATTTTGTAAACCCTACCTCATTAAAACTAAATCAAATATTTTTTTCAAAATGATCTAATGATATATCTAAATATATCTAATTATAATTGTATAATCTAATGTTTTTTTTAATACCATCTATTAATTTTTTTAATGAACTAATGGTTATTTATGATCACATAATTTAAAAAAATTATCTAATGATTTTTTGCAGATTTAAACTTGTTATACAATATATTTTCCAGTCGAAATGCAAGTAATATGAATTTGTAAATAATTTTCTATCAATACAAGCAAATCTGACAATGTTATCCACATCATCCTCTGTAAATTAGCTCACTATCAAAAATGAAATATGTTAACCATTAAAATTGGTAGACATGCACTAAACTATAATTACAAATGCATGTTTTATAATCTTTTATTTATTAGACGTTGACTTACATTTACAAAATGTTACATGGTTCACTGTTTTATTTGCATGGTGTTTAAACATGCGACAAAAAATGTGTTAATTTAAGCCTTCATTTAAATTACTAAATATCCAATATCCTTTGTGCTATTATATTACGAACAGTAGAAAAAGGAATCAATATCTGTACTAATTTCAGTCTTATAAGATAATTACACAACTTAAAGAAACCACCAAGGAAAAACCAAAAAATATACCAAAACAAGAAATATTTAAGGTTCCTTTACCTTAGCCAGGACCCTCATAAAGTATAGTCAATATTGGCTTTGGGCAACCATATTCTCTCTCTAATAAAAACCTTGCACTTACAAGCCATGGTTTTACCTAATATTTTCCCTTTAGAATCAGTGATTATATTACTCTATTCATGCTGGTGTACTGGTTTTGTTTGTTTGTATTCATTCTCAACTAATATTTTTAGAAAAATAAACATTTGCTTAAAATTTGGCCACTTACTAATACTGGTGGTAAGCTATTAATTCTTTTACATGTAGTTATGCTAAAATAGGTTATCAAATAAATTTTGATTAGCCTGTTTTGTTAACAAAATATTAAATAAATGATAAATGTTATAAAAATGTCTATAATTTAGTAAACATTTACTCAAAGTTGTATTAAAAGTGACCGATTTATACTATGTACCAGTCACACTGGCCATCATCAGGACATAGATTACCGCATTGTCAACTTTATAGTCGTAGAAATATCGGGAAGTTTTGGAATACATATTTGATTAAATTTTTATACATCACCAACATGTAAAATGCTAACCAAGAAGTTATTTTAGACTAATCAATCCTTAGATTTTGATTCTTGGATACCATTGTATTACTTTTTATTACATTATTACTTTTACCTTATTATTACATTATCTATTGTCTTTATTTTACATTATTATTTACCTATTGATTTTGCTTTAAAATGTTAAGTAAAATATACATTTTCTATCCAAACCATTTCCTTGTGTAAACAAAGTTACTTCAGTTAAATAGTAAAAGTATTTGCTGAGCTTTGCTTTATCATGAAGCCTCATACACGGCCTTAATTAAGTTTCAACCACCTCCAATGCAAACACCCCTTTACGTGAGTGGAATTTCTAAAAGCACTATAAATAATATTGTTTTATTCATTTCTATCATCAAATATCAATATTTTTGTATATAGTTTGTACAATATTATCATTGTCTTGGATGGATAAGTTTAATTAAGTGTACACTTGAAATGAAACATTGGAATATATAGTTTAATTTTATCTGTGATATGTACATTTCAGTCATACTCAATTATTTAAAATCACCCATTTACAGTCATTATTCAAGCCTTGTAAAAATGTTTAAACATGTTTTTATTTAATCATTGAGAGTTGATAATATTAAATATAAAATTCATCAACTTGGTCATTGGAAAAAGAACCCATTTTTTTATATTTCACACATACACGTACTCATAACAAGAGTAGATACCTAACATTGACTTTGGACTCTGGCAGTAAACTTATCATTCTAGGCTGAAATATTATGCCTGTTTTCTAGGACACTGATTTAAAAAATGAAAACACAAGTTGGTGTTGATGTGTGAAAGTTATAAATCTGTGGCTCTAAGTATATTGGCACTACAATTTAAAGAACTCCCTGACAAACCTAATGTGTTATTATAATGGCTGCAATTTGGCACAAGTTGGCAAAAGTGAAAGGATGAGGCAATGAAGTCTCATAATGATAATGAATGAGCCTACCACCTGCCTCAACATAACATCACTGGAAACACACCTTAGAATTACTGTCCCTGCTTCATTCATGCACATCTCTAATTTAAGGTGGTTTAGTTTGTCATCTTCCCTGACCTACATCTTAGGTTTTGAGCTTATCATTGGCAAATGAGAAGGTGTAATGATGTTTGTGTTCTTTATTTGATACTGGTTCAACAGAAAAGCTTAGTGATTTGTTTTGCAGTTGTTAAATAAACGGGAACTACCAATTCAAATATACTGGTGCAAGAGCTAGTAAAATTGATGGCTATTAATTTACTACTCACCTACCTCTTCTTCAGTGATGCAAATAAAACTATATCGGAAAAACTAAACATTTTTATTCCACACTTCTATTTACAAAATTGATATAACACAAAGACAATAACAAAAACAAAACCATATGATAAATTAATAAGTTAAATGAAATATTCCTCATATTTACAGGCCAGGATACATAACAGCTACATAACTAAAAGCAGGGAACATTCAAGGCGCCACTATAAAAACTATTGGGGCCTTGGATTATTACTTTAAAACCAGAAAAGTTACATTTTAATATTTTTCTTTGATATTTTGGTACAAAAATATTCAAAAACCTCCATGAAGGTGTTAAACAAACTCAAATAGGAACTGAAATCTTCACTAATGTCCTCTAAAGAAACAGCTACCGGTAATCTTATGAAAACTAGCTACACAAAGCATCCCTCCATTCTACACCATCGATGTTCTACACCGATCCTTCACTCATAGTTGGGTTAAAACACACCCTTTGCTTCTCCAGATTTGGTAAATTATTAATTTAACTGTACCAATGGACCATCAACTTTATAATCTGAAGTAGACAATGGACAAAGTAACCTCTTAAGACTCCATGATAAAGTCAAGAACAAATAAAGATTTTCTGATCCAGTTGAGCAAGCGATTTGGCATGCAGCCTGCCATAAGTAATTTATATGAAACAGCTGTTGCCAGAATTTGAGTCAATGAAAACACGGTTGAATAAACCTATAATAGAGTCACTTAGACTATCCGACACAAGTAGACTTCTCATCCCAATGTAAATATTGAAGCTCGTTTTTCGTGTCTTATTCTTGTTTCTATTATTTTAGGGTTAATTTCACGAATTGTGCTGTACTATTTGGTTTTATAACTAGGGGACAAGTTATTGTTTATGATTTTATCGGTATTATTAGATAGTTTTATTTGGTTAAACAGAGTTTAAATGATTGAAATAGCAAGAAACAAATTGTAAACAAACAGAACTTCTACAGTGCACCGGACAGAACTAACAATAAAATTGTCTTCTGCTGATCCATAAGGACGAGAAATATACTGAGGGAGTGTGTTATCTATGGCAGTACCTCGACTAGTCAAGACCACACTGTCTACACTAGACTAAGTCAAGAACAAATCAAAATTAAGAATTTCTGATTAAGTTGAGCTAGCAATTTGGCATGCATGCCACAGGTAATCCATATGGATTCTGGCTGTTGCCAGAATTTTACTCAATGAAAACACAGTTGATTGAACCTCTAAGAGCCACTGATGAGATCTTTGATATCCTATTGTAGTTTCATGAATTTTATGGTATACCAATTACCTTTTTTTCTAGCTTGCATTCCTTGTACTTTTGTACATTTCCTTAGGGTGAATACAAAATACCAACTCAAGATGCAGGCAACAAATGGGTACGGTTCTATTGTATATTGTTTGTGCAGGATTGATCCTCAGACCCATGGGATTGAGTGAGGATACTGTAATCCTCATATCTTATCCTGGAGAGCTATTCATGAGAGTCCTCAAGCTTATGATCCTTCCCTTCGTAATTTCCTGCCTTATCATTGGTGAGTATGACTAAGTTGGCGGAAGTATAAGAAATGTTATTGGCTCAAAATAATCCTCTACACTCCTGGATTTGTGAAGGGTTATTATAAAGACATATTCACCAACTGGTACTTTTTTTAAGAAAAATATCATATGACCAGTCTGAACATGAAATAAAAACATTTTAGGATGTTAGATCCTCATATTTAGGCTACTTAAGTTGTTATATAATGATTCAAATAATTAATTTACATACATTCAAACATTTTGTGTTTTGTACCAGGTATTGTAACAGATATGTTTTTAGAAAATCTTGCCTAAACTTGGTTAAATGCACCCTATAGCTATTATTGATAACTACTGTACTTATGTAGGTCTACTCTGTGTTAAGTTACTTTTATTGCTGGTACAGTATTTATATCTTATTTTTGTTTGATTTTCTCCATAGAAAGGTATATGTTACCATATATTCCTATATTCTCTATATGATTTCAAATTTATCAAGACATGTTTTTTTTTCATACCATTCAACCTACTAGAATTAATATTTTCCCCAATCAGGCTAGCACATGTCACTTAAATTGCATTGAAATATTTTTAAAACAAAATTTTGTATTTTATAGGGACAGCCACCATAAATGTTCGGAAGAATGGACGCATCGCTGCACGGACAATACTTTACTTTATATCAACTTCAGCACTAAATGTGGCATTAGGACTGGTAAGGCTTATAATATCAATATATTCATTAATAAAATGAAAAATTTAGTAATTATTGTAAGTTTTTAGTAATGCTGAAATAAACCAGGCTTGATATATTTCCCCCTAGTTTGAAAGACATGATTGCATTAAGAAAAAATTTTTTTGGGGTTCTGGTTTTTTTCTGTTTATGTGCCCTTGGCAACTCTACTTTACTTTGCAGAATAAATAAAATAATAATAAATTATCATTAGGCCTAAATGATAATAATTTAATGGAACAATAAATGTCTACAAGAATACCGTAATTGAAACTCATTAGGTCATGTAGAATAGCACTCTAAATGTTTCAGAAAATTTTCAGCACAATTATAGGTTAATGTCCAGCAATTAAACATACAAAATAGCTACAGAAACATTAAATTTGTAAATATTAGCACCTTTGATTCAAAATAAAGAACTACAAAATTTTTAAACAAAAACTTAAACAAATGAGTTTGAAATAGTAAACAGTTCTATCATACATTATAACACTGAAATAACAAGAATGATCTACAATCTATGTAAAATAATTGCAAGTAAAAAGTACCGGTAAGAGTTTATCTTATAAAGCTTAATAAAAGTTTAGAGGATTAGTCCCTCTGTTGCCGATGCTGTTAAAGATTTTGGCCTCGTGTTTCTAATTACTAAACTGATTTTGCTGGCAAGCACAGCACAAGCCAAGAATAATTCTTTTGTAATTGCAAACATTTGGTTGTCAATTTCTTCCTTGGCTGAAAAGTACTAACTGTTGTATAGCCCTCTTCTGAAAATGTCGTGCTTTACCATGTCTCTAAAACGCCAATACCTTTTAAATGTGAATGATATAGCATATTGCACAGTGACCGAATCGTACTATAGTTTATATTTGCACAAGGAAGACAAAAATTTGAAATCAAGGAATGAAAAGAAATTGGAAGAGATATGTTTTGTGTAGATGGAGTCTTTAAGTAAATGGTCAAGGAGTTTTAATTACAAATTCACTTCCTAGGTATTGACAATTCTGTCAGTTCAGTAAATTATTCTAAATAATGTGTAAAATGTTAGGTTTTGTGCTGTTAGTGCCAGATTTAGAACATTTTCCAATTAGATACGTCTGACACCCCCAACAACAATCTGTATAATCCTTAGTGCCAGGGGAAGGTTTTTATGTAAGGAAATTTATAATCAATCCAACCATTATTTAGCAATTTGATTTTTAAAATTCCAAAAAAATTGCGTTTACATTAGCTCACTCACTTCAATCTAGAGGCAAGTGTGCGTAGCGAACGAGCTAAACCTGAAGGTGAGTGAGTGCAGCAAACAAGCTCCAACCATAAGGTGAGTCAATGTAGCCAACGAACTTCAGCCAGGAAGTGATTGAGCGATGCGAACGAGCTCAGCTTGAAAATGAACCAGCATTTGACATAAAACCGCATTAGGACAGGACGATGTTTGTCGGGCCAGCTAGTCCTTAAATATTTTTTAATTGTATTACGACACAATGGTAATTAGAAGTTTTAAAGAATTTTTTATCATTTTTAGTTGTTGGTGATTACTATACATCCAGGAAGTCCAGACTTTCACAGCAACATTACAAACGTTGTTGACATGAGAAACACCAATTTGCTGGATGGATTTTTAGACATGGGCAGGTATGTTGTTGTCTCATATGTTTAAGTGTAGAATTAGGTAACACAAAAAGACTGCATTGTTATTATACATATGGTAGGTAATGTTCCTATTTCAGTTGAAGACTTATCCAAGCGCATAACTGGCAAAAAATACTCAATGTCAAAATCTTTACCATACACTTCCTAGGACGTCTTGTAAATATGTGGATTTACCTAGGTACTACAGTGGCCTACTACTGTACAATAGTACTACTGTACTACGGTAATTCACGAATGCGATACAGGAAAGCAGTAGGTTATACCATGTTATACCATAGGATAAACATACTCCCTTAGTAAATTTAACACCCTTATAGATCAGCTGAAGACAATTTTATTGTTACTTCTGTTCGGTGCGCTTTAGAGGTGTCTACCGTTTGTTTCTTATTTCAGTCATTTAAAACCTCATTTAACCAAATAAACCAATCTAATCATAAACGATAACTCGTCCCATTGTTACCCAAACATTAAAGCATAAATCATTATATTAAATCTAAAATAATAGAAACAAATGTTGTCGACACTAGTGATCAGTGTCACCAACATGAACTATTAACGAAAAACAAGCTTCAAAATTCACAATTGGATTAGAAAGTCTACTTGTGTTGTTTAGTCTACGGTTACACCTATCAACAATTAGGGACTGAAAATAGGACTGCTATATTAAGTTTCTTCTTGGTTCTTGGAACTTACATGGTCTCACAAAGTATGGTACAAATAAAATACAAGAAACCTTGCCAATATTTATTCACTATCCATATTTGCCATCAATCAAATGTGTCTATATAATACTGTAAATTGAAAACCTAGGATTTGTAAGATTTTGTGAGGAATTAGCATGATGGTGTTTTGATAATTTTTTGTTCCAGAAATCTTGTACCTGACAATATCTTTCAGTCTGCTTTTGAACAGGTAACATTGTATGTCAAGTTGTTCTGTACCTTTGTAATTTACTTTTAAATTTCAAAACCTACAACTCATATTGATCACAAAAAACTGTTATATTCAACATAACACTGTGGAGTAATTTAAAAAATAAAGTCTGAATTCAGGGGAAAATCTTGAAAATGTGTTTAATAGTGTAAGATTTCAATTTCCTTCTTCTGAATGTTTCAGACATACACAGAATATTACACGCCTGGTCAAAATGCAGATAATTTTTCTCTTGAAGTAGTAAATGTCTCAGATATTGCAGTACCAACCAAGCGAAGGCTTTCTTTCAGGTATGTGGTTTTATCATGGTGTTTCACCTAAACGTATTTTAAAATGTGATAGAAAAACTTTAAAGAGGATGACATTCATAAAACCGTAAAAAAACTATTTTTAAACTTCAGGATAAATTTTTATTTAGTGTTAGTGGCTACTGGTTTAATGCATTAAATAAGCTTCACTTATTGCTTTTAATCTGGTTTTCATAATAACGAATACAGAGAATTTAATTCTTGCAACAGTGATGGACAGAGATTTTAGCAACAATAAGTAGATGTTTTCAAAGTTATTGGTTGGCAAATTAGTTCTTTACTGTTTTTGGACCCCATAAATCCCAATTGTTATCCTAGCAAATAACAATTTTAATATTCGTCGAACCAATCCATATACATTTCAAAATTGCCGACAAAATAACTGACTGGCTAGCTAAGTGGAGATACTGCTCACCTTTAGATCTATAGTTACTGGTTCGATCCTGAGAAGATCAGTTTATTTTGGACTCACCTACCATTTATAAAAACCAATTGTGCTATCAACCAACAGATTTAAGTCAGGTATAATCCAAACAATGGTTTATATTGTTCCCTCATAAAAAGTGTAAAATACACCACTGTCATACTATCACGTAGATAAAAACAAATTGTTTTTTTTTTAGGAATGGCACCAACACCCTGGGAATTATTTTCTTCTGCATAATCTTTGGATCGGTGCTTGGATCTATTGGACCTCAGAAAGCTATTGTGATAGAGTTCTTCACAGTGATCTACCAAGTGTTGATGAAGATGCTGATGGGAGCGATATGGTGAGTGTAACTTGCCTTTGGTGCAGATTCTCATAGAGCTGATGGTGTTTTTGTGTTGAGCGTATTGTAAAACCTTTGGCTATAGAGATACCATCAAGAATGAGACACGCTGTTTGGGTAGCCGAGTGGTTATAACGCTTACCTTCAAATCTGAAGGTCGCTAAGTTGAATCCAAATTAAATGCATCCTGTATTCAGATGAAATTTTTCTTTGGGATATCTCTTAATGGGCTATCTTACAAAAAGTTCAAGTTTAGATAGTGACAAGAAAAAGCTTAAAAAACACCAATGGTGTCCACAAAAACACAAGAAGATTTTTAAGTAGTATCTTCTCTTCTAGATTAGAGTACAACAAAGCTACACCTGGTAGATGGGATCTCTACTTCAGTATTCAAAAGAGTTTATGGTTAAACCTAAATTAATTGTCTCACTCTTTACAATTTTTAAACACCCATCACAACATGGATTAACATTGAAAACTTCAGGAAGTGACAATTTGGCTTTTAATTTATGATGGAGCAATGTTATTCATTATAAGGGTTGCGGTGAAACATTTCTAGGTTTGTAAACTAATCTGGCCATGTTCTGAATTCCTTTCCTGAAGACAGAGCCTCCAGATTCTGAAATGTTAAAACGTTTGTTTTATTGTGATGGAAAATTGCTGCCCTGACACTTGCAAAAAAACCTAAATTTTCCAACAATGTTCTTTAAACATTGAAATGTCTACACAGGTTTACCCCCCTGGGCGTAGGCAGTATCATCTGTGGGAAGATGGTATCCGTGGCCGACCTTAGCTTGACCCTCACCCAACTGTCCTGGTTCATCCTCACGATGGCCACGGGAGTCCTGCTCTATCAGCTGATCATCCTGCAGCTCATTTACTACGTGTTTGTTGGTAAAAACCCATACACCTTCTACTCCGGTCTAGGTCCAGCCATCGTCACTGCTTTTGCAACGGCTTCCAAGTAAGTTGTTTTGTTGTAGAACTCCCATGATAAATTGTTAGTTATCTGTCTAACTTATATAACATTTTTGGAATAAGGATACAAAAACAAAGGGGTTTTTTTGAACTCAAATATTTGAATGAAAAATTGTGAAATTAGTGATTGATTGAATGCCTCTTTAGAGTAGCATGAATACTGGCTCTGTCTTCAGGAAAGGAATTTAGAACATGGCCAGATTAGTTTACAAACCTAAGATCAGCTGTTTCTTTGTAGCCAGAACTAAGAGCTCAAGGATCAAAGACAGATGGGTTAAGTTTCAAAGGAAAAAAAATTAGTTTTTCACATTTTTGACCCTGAAAACACAACATTTCCCAATTTCTCTCTAGACCATTTTAAAGAGCTTAACTAACAAATAATTTGGTATACTAAAGTATTTTTGTACAATATTTTCGGTTACGGAGCTCCTTAAATCTAATGCTCCTTAAAACTCCTTAAACCTAATGTTATTTAAATAGATTTAATTGAAAATCAATTCAGGTGAATGGAAATTTGCTTAGTCTGCAAGTTTGTTGCGGCGGTTGTATTTTATTAATACAAGGAGTTTTTTTTGTGACGGAAACCCATTCTACAATTAGTGCAACGAATTTGCGACCCATTTAATGAACTTTAATTTATTGTTGGGAAAAAAATATTAAGTAGTTGTGTATACAAAAATTACAAACATTTTATCTCTGAAAGAACAATGATCCGATCTTGAAAGGGTGCAGAGGGAAAGAAAATTCCTCCGTGCCAGTAGCATAAATTAGTGATAAGCACAATTGGATTTGTTTTAATTGAATTGTAAATAAAACACCTAGCACATTAAGCATGAAATATCAGCCTCTTTCATAAAAGAAAAAGTGTAGACACTCTCTTCTGGTTATTTCTAGTGAACGCAGACCTATTATAGCGCTCTATGAAAGGACTCCCAATTCTATTTTGTTGCCAGCACTGAAATAGTGCCAAAAATGAACTACAGCTGATCCCATGCATATATAGATGGAATATTTCTACAATAATATGCATATTCAATTAAGTAATAATTCTGCAATACTAACTTCATCCAGCGGGACAAAAATACTCACATATTGTTCAATTTCAAACACGTTTCATTGATATGTTGATTGATTATGTAACTACCTTAGAATGTGATTTTACTCTTTCATTTAATTGATGAGAATTTTAAATTTAAATCACTAAGGATGGATTAATTAATTACGTCTTTAACCATATAACTTGTAACTGTTTGTTCTTATGCTAATCCAGCATACTAACTCCGTAAAAAATTAAGAAGTAAAATTATTTGGTTAAAACCACAGTAGACTCCCTTTTATCCGGACATCGGTTTAACCGGACTGCACTTGGCGGAAATTACATCTCTTTAACCGGACAATTTTTATCAGCACAACGGTTTAACCGGACTAGAGCGGAAGGAAGTGCCCGGTACTCTATTGAAACGACTGTTCTCGTGGGAAAGATTTAAGACCAGAGATCACGTGTCTAAATACAATGCTCTCCTAAATTTAAGTCAAATACTGTATACAGTATGCATTTAAACGGTCCGTTTTAACGAGTTTTTGGGGAGGTCAGTTTAACCGGAAAACCCGGATAAGATTCATTAGCCAACGCATCCATTGACATCAGCCCTGTTTACAATACGTTAATAGAGAAAGAAATTAAAGGATGCATTGACAAATCAAAACAAAAGAAGATAATGCCATCAGCTGATCTAGATAACAGATCCTCCCCTCCCCTTCCCACTCCTCCACAACCGGGGTCGTCAATCGTGGTTAGGCACTCACAACATTTACGTGAGTAGAAAAAACCTTGAAAACGCCGCACGTTTTTATTGGTGTGGCGAAACGTCGGAGATGAGAACTTTAGTCTGTGATTTTGTATTTAGTTTTATTTTTGTATTTTTATCAATGTTTATGTGCAATTAACTGTGATATGACAAGGACTGTGTTCTCCTGATTTCAATAAAGTGAGTGATGCCCAAAAATATTGATCATACTGGAGTCTGGATAAGAGGGAGTCAACTGTAACAGCTTTATGTGCATTATGAAAACAGAAAACAACAATAAAAGAAGCTTGATTTATGTTAAAAAAGGTTGAAAAAGTGATTTTTTACAGACAACACCAGCCTGTATGGTTCTCATTTTACAAGGGTTTGCTTTGCTCACTTTACTGAAAAAAATCCACCGCAAGAAGGAAGAACTAACTGTAAACTATTTCCAATTCTCTTTAACCATCTCAGTGACAAAAATTAATAGAAAGAAAAGGGATACAGTAACACACTTTATGAAAAATTTCAACTGTTCTTTTATTATTGGCTAAAGCAAAGCCACACTAAAAAAACAGGCCGTAATGCTCGTCAAGCATGACGTCACGATAGAAGACGGCAATGACGTAGGTATTTATTTATTTACTTTCCAAGGAAAGATTAAAACAAGCAGCTGATCACAAAAGGCAAACAATATGTCATTGCCGTCTTCTATCGTGACGAAATGCTTGACGAGCATTACAGCCTGGTTTTTAGTGTGGCCTTGGCTAAAGCCGGTATATATAGACTTCAGTCAGTGTGACTTAAGTTTTGTGTTTCAGTATTGCGTAGTACTTCAGTATCAAAAAGTCAATGTTTTAAATTAAATGAAACATTGGTTTGTTGTGCTAGAGCCGCTGCATTTCCAGTGGCCTTCAAACTATTGGATGAAAGACTCAAGGTAGATTCTCGCATCTCCAAGTTCATTCTTCCCATCGGAACCATCAACATGGATGGAACTGCTCTGTTCCTTAGTGTGTCTGTCTGCTTTCTGGCACAAATCAACAACATTGCACTCACTGTGGGAGACCTCCTAACACTAGGGTAAGACTTCTTTTTTTATATATTTTTATATGGAAAAGATGTTGGTAGCCTTGAATTTTCGCTTGGCATTGGACCTTGACCTGTGGTTTGCATTTTATGCGCTGTATGCCTGAGAGACAATTGCGCTACCTTCCTTGTAGAGGAATTTTACTCTTCCGAACGCCCCCAAAAAATCTAAGACTTGCCTCCCTGGGTCCAGGCCCATTAACTAAATCGGCACTGTGGCCTGCTTGGAACGTTTCTGGAAAGTGTGGGTAGCCCGTTACAGTGAAAATGAGTTGTGATTTTAAGTTACATCGATGCCTTGGATTACAGTTTGTCCTTGCTGTTGATTCAGCCATTAACTAAACTTTATTATATCTGACTCCAACTTATTTCTCCAAATCCTGCAAAGTAATTTTGAAACCTTTTTGTAAACGTTAGTCAGCAGTGTTTAATAGTGACTTCCAACTACTTAAAACATTTGTTTTATTAAGTCATGCCCACAAATATGTTTTTGTTTTGTTATATTTGTCCGCTTATCCTGTCCTCGCAGGTTATCATGTACTGCAGCCTCCATGTCTAGTGCCACGGTCCCCTCAGCCGCCCTCGTCCTCGTATTGATGTTGTGTTCCACGGTCAACGCTCCTACTGAAGACGTTTCTCTGCTCTTTGCCGTTGATTGGTTTGTGTAAGTGGTTTAATGTACGATTATTGTACTGACTTGGGAAGTGACTCGTTTTGACACAAGCTTGAAACAACTAGCCAGTATGGGGTTGGAAAATGAGCAAGGGTTGGTACAGCACTTCTTCTGGCTGGTGTGATAGACAGTTTGGCTTTTCTGCACCATTATTTACGCTAACTTAATCACAAAAGAATAATTTCCTACATTGTTTACGATTGTAGGTAAGCCCACAAAATCAAACATCTTGTTTTGCTATTACACATACTAGCTGTTACCCACGGGCTTCACCCCATTTGACTTCATAAGTATTAACTAGTGTACATGTTGCTTGAAATCGAGCAATCGCAAAGAAGTAAATGAGTTATTTAAAAACAAATAACTTATTTAAGAAAAAATATAAGTCATAAATTCCGATGAGTTTAAAAGAGTCAACTCAAAGATTACGTAACTAATGATAATACTCACAATGTACTTAAGAGTTCAATATAATCAACATTTCTTGTAAATATTTTATCATTTTTCAAAAGCTGCTCTGGCTTTTAGTGTATTGTAGAAATGTTTCCCACTTATAGCTGCAATAGGTTGTCTATGTTGGTCTTTGTCAATGATAATGTAGTCTGCATGGTATCACCCGGCACCCATTGTCGCCAGTACGTTTACAAATTTCAGTCTTTATTTTAATAGCACCAAATAACCATTAACTACCTGATTTTCTGCATAACCTCTCTGTCACAATTTTACAATTAACATTTGTTTATGTTCTACTTCTCAGTTTTAATTTCTAACAACAGCTGGAGTTTCATAACTATGTTTGTTTCCCATGTTAATCTTATGGAGAAATACAAAACTTTAAAGGGCCCCAGGGCCTCACTCTCTAATTGTTTCCCTAAAAAGAAAGTTTCCTGCACAACTTCACAATACGCTCTTTCCAATGACACCAAAAACATGTCAATCGGTTCAGTAGTTTCGGAGGAGTAATTGTCACAAAAAACCTGCTTGCGTATTAAATAAGTAACTAGTTGCTCTGCCCGTGCTTCGCTACGGGGTGAGAATGCTGAAAAGAATAATTTGGTTTTACTTTAAGATACTATAATATACTATAAGGAACAGTTACAACACACTTACCAGGAAAAACATATAGGCAAAGGCTCAATCGTACCTATTGATTATTTAAATGAATATCTCTTAATGTATTACAGTACCATCATTTTATATAGTGTATATCATTTAAAATATATGCAAAAGTGTAACTCATTGACCACATGGCACCAAGAAACAATTCTCCTTGTAAACAAATTAAATTAAATAGCAGAACAGCATTTCTGACAACAGCTGGAGTTTCATAACAATGTTTATGTCCCATGTTAATCTTATGGAGAATAACAAATCTTTAAAGGGCCCCAGGGCATCACTCTCTAATTATTTCCCTATAAAAAAAGTTTCCTGCACAACTTCACGTTACGCTCTTTCCAATGACACCAAAAACATGTCAATCGGTTCAGTAGTTTCGGAGGAGTAATTGTCACAAAAAATCTGCTTGCGTATTAAATAAGTAATAGATATAGATAATAAATAAAACGATTGATTGGTTAAGTTAAGCTAAAATAAACAAAACAGAATACAGTAATACAAACAAATAATCACACCTGATTTTAATAAGGTAATAAATTGAAAGAATAACAAACAAATAAGTACAGCTGAGGTATTTTTAACATTAGGTGTATGGAAAGTTCCCTTTAGAAAGGAATTACGACCTTAAAGGGCATTTTATGCATTAATGGATAGTTTTGCGCAAGGGTTCTCGTCATGACGAACATATTAAGTATATGGGTGTAGCATAGAGCACAAGGGCCTAGATTTTTTAGGATTTTTTGAGAGGATAGCAGGCTTACCTGAATGGGAAAGAGTCCAAACTGAGGATCCTGTGCCAGTTTGGACTCTTTCCCATTCAGGTAAGCCTGCTATCCTCTCAAAAAAACCTAAAAAATATTAAGTATATGGTTTATGGGGTGTAACTTTAAGTTTTCTCAAAAGTTCATGGGTACTTTGGGATTTATATTTGGATTATACATTATATATGTATTATGAACAACTGTTGCGGTTATTTAGAAGCAACTCCTATTACTCCACTGACAAAAAAAATTAATTCAAATTTATCAAATCGGTTTGAATTTTGATACAATGTGACACGATGATCATAAAAGATTTTTCATAACGATGCAATACTACTTTTATCAACTGTGAATACTTTCTATGGCAAAATCTGTGATTTTATAATTTTGAAAAATGTACAGCTGATGACTTATTTGACTACAGATGATTCTTTTTTGGCCGAGGAGTAAAAGAACTTCTTTTAACCTTTCTTTTCTTCTCCCCATAATGCATGCCTTTATTATGTCTCAAACTTAAAAAACAAATTCAAGAAATGATGTTTGAAATTACCTGTTTTTATAAGCTATTGTGTATCTATTTGATTCAATTTTCTATTTGATTACCCTTTTTGTTATGAATTGTTTATAGAGACAGGATGAGGACAACAAATAATCTACTTGGTGACTGTTATGCTTGTGCGGTGATAGAAAGTTTGTCTAAAAAGGAGCTCAGTGAAAACTTTGATGTAAGTAAAGGCGGTTTTTATCGTAACTTTAATTGGAATTTTGTTTTTTTTTACAAAAATATAATTTATTTTAAAGTATTGTTTTCACAGTGATATTTTGTCAACACGCTAACTTTACAATTAAATAGTATGAGTTCTTGATTCAGTTTTAACATAGACTAAATACACTAATTTTCTTTTACAGGACGAAGAGAATACACATTGCTATGGAAGCGCTTTCTCATGTGCGGCGGATTTGAAAATACCAAAAAATGGTCACGTAAAAGTAGATGACTCATTGGAAGCATGAAACATCTGATGGGTTAACGAGGGTTGATTTCTGTGATGTTAGGTTAGGTTTAGGATAGGAGCAGCACAACTATTACACAATAAGACAGCTTATTTTTGAAATGTATTATTATTAAAATGTATTTGTTATTAGTGTATATAAGGGAACATTGGGAACACATTTTTAACGTAGTTTTTTGTATACTTAAAAGACAAACCGTACAATAGTAATTTCTAACTGTTTTTTAGATGATTTTTAACAATTTTACTGCATTGCACAACTGATGTGATAGCTCATATTAATGTTTCAAACACATATTATTGATTGGTATCGCTTTAATTTAAAAAAAATTGAGAATACTATATTTTCTGGTGAATTTTGTTAAGGTTTTTTAACTTTTAAATTAAAACTCTTTAGAATACAAATCTATTGTTCTGCAGGCCTAAACATTTTGCTGAAAATGTTTACAGTTACGAAATGTACCTTAGAGTTGAAGTGAGAATTTACAATAAGTTGAAATATGTTATTTTTATACTATACCTACTCATACTCTGGGCTTTTGCTCATATTTGACTAGCTTAAAGTCGTTGATATCTAATCCAACATGTAACCGTTGACTGTAAATCCTTTTACAGACAACGATGTAACTTAAAACTTAACAAAGTTGGTTTGTTGCATAGGGTATTGATTATGCATTTTGAATGGGACACAGAGGTTAATGTTATATAAACTGTTCATTGTATACACAAAAGCAGTTGTTGAAGTCCAAATTACTGTCTCCAAATGAAATATTGTCGTTATGGCCCCTTTGAGTTTGCCAAGATTTTAATGTTAAAAACTATTGAATTATTATAATTAGACAGATACTTCAGGGGCGTGAATCTCTGTATTTCTTCTTAGAGTTCTTTAACACTTACGTTTTCTGGTGAACAAAACCCGGTGTTTCAAACTACACATATTAGTAACAAAGCATTTATGCATGTCCAATTATACACTGTTTGTATCCAGTAAATGCAAGCATTAAAGGACCCTACTTTAAATGATAACTAAAGTCCCGAACCAATACTGTATATTTTATGGTAGATTGTCCTATATTCCAGTGTTTTTCCATGTAGCACCGCAACATTTAAACATTCTTTACGGTATTTACAAACTAGTTTTTACCACGTGTGAGCATAGTGCATGTGTTTTTCACTGTGGGTGGATTCCTCTGTGATTTGAACGAATGAGTGTTAAGCAAAACTCAATCATAAAAGTATTATACAAAGGAGATTAGTCAATTAATAATTCAAAAAGTCAATTAACCAAAAATATTTATTTAATTTTCATAATTAATGTAGTGGTACAATAATTTATTATTGTTTCAAGTATTGACTTGAATCTTCATACCGGCAAGTTTTTGTTAAATATTCCAGAAAGAATATTTATGGTTTAAGTTGATTAGTTTTTCTTATTTTTTCCAAACGCCCGTTCTAATTGAATTCCTTCCTCCAATCAGATGGTTTAAAAATGTTACATAAAAAATACAGAAGTTATGTATTTTTTACACCAAAGAACTTGAATGTGATATAAATGTACCCTAGGGCATTTTATTGAAATACAAATAAAAAACTAAGGTAATTTAAAGAGGTAATCCGCCTATTTTTAAAACCTTAACCCAAATACTATTTTGCTTTTAAACATTTTTTGCATAAACTCATTTTAAAAGATATATTTTGTAAAAATAACAAAAAAGTAATTAATACTTGAGTTTTAGGTATGCATTAGAATCTCAAAATTTGCAAAATAATGAGAAAACGTGTCTTTAAAAAGTCTTTGGGTTTTTTTGGGTTACATACAATATTCTTAGAAATTGTTGTTATTTTTTAATACTTTTAAAATGTACTGTTAGCTATCCTTTTAGCTTCACAATACATTTCACATAGGTCTACTATTAGTGAACAGCTAAAAAGAAACTGAAGATCCATCCGATGCAAAATATTACGGTATAAAGAACTTAAATACCCCCGCCGCAGCAAACCTGCAGACTAAGCGAATTTCCATTTGACTGATTGGATTTACACTGAAATGTCTACTTAAAAATATAACATTTATTCTTGATTTAAATAGAATTAGTTTAACTAGAATTAGTTTAACAAGTACTTAGGTTTGCTGCATTAGGGAGGGTAAAACTGTTTTTTTTGTAAAATGTGAATAGTTAGTAAGAAATAAAAACATTTTCCAAATTTGATCAAAATATGTTCACAAACAAGCAAACTACAACAGTTTACTTATTCTCCATATGAATAACATGGGAATTTTAAATTTACAATTTTTTGGAATTTTCTCCGTAACCATTAGGCGCATAATAACGCTTCAATATACTAAATTATTTGTTTTTTTGAGCTCTACAAAATGGTTTGGAAAGAAATTGCTAAATTTTATGTTTTTTGGGTCAAAAATGGGAAAAACCAATTTTTACCCCATAAAACCCCCCGTAAACCCCCGTTCCCATGGTCCGATCATGCTGGATCGCGAACTCGTTCGAATAGACGTACGTTTACACTTTTGTACAAAATTTCATCAAAATCGGATCATTTTTGCTCGAGTTATCGTGCTGACGGACACATATATATATATATATATATATATATAAATATATAAATATATATATATATATATATATGAATTTGAACGGATGGTGTTTTTGGTCTCTAGGGACCTCAAAACAAAAAAAAAAATCGGTCCCGCATCCAGGTCTTACCATGAGTACTACGGTAATAGCTTATTCCCTATATGGGAAATTCGCTAAAAACAAATAATGCACCAAGTTAAGAGTTTCAAAAATTGGAGAGCACAGATAAAATTTACAACATATTCGACAACTTGATAATTTTCCTGGTTTTCTTCATAAAGACTTTAAAGAACAGTTACAAGACCCAGTTCTATATCTGGAGTAGGAATAAATATTCTTTCCTTCTTTAAAGTATTCCTCCAAAAACACAATATACAAATTATGATTTTTGGTCAATATCTGATCCAAGACTAACATGTCAAACTTCCACTATATATAATTTTGCAAAAAAATGCTGAAAGCTATATTCGGGAGTCAAGTTTCTACTGTCCGGGCTTTCGGTTGACAAGTGTTGTTAAAACAGTGGACCATTAGGAATAATCGCCGAGTCGTCTAAAGAGTTGCCAGCAAGGAGACAACTCTGAGTATTTAGGAGTTTGACTCACATACCAGTCAAGTATGGTGTACAACTCCAACTCATGAGAAGTTAACTACCTATGGTAGAGTGCCCACCTGAATAAATGCGGGACAAGTTGAAGTAGACAACAGGCAGACAGCTAGGTGGATACTTTATGATTTTCACATCAAATCAGGCATTTTGCTTTTACTTATCCATGAAAAAAACTTGTTAAAAATTATTAAGATTTTGTATTTTTAAAATAGTTATCAACAAAGTCACTGCATACAATACTAGGAGTTTAAGCGGTTCAGATATTGAATTATATACAGGGTGAGTTTTAAATGAGTTCCCCCCCTACTTTTTTCTACATTTATTAATATATTAACTCCGGACCACGTCAGATCATTGTAGTACTAACATCATCATTCATATGTGAATCTATATATCATATATATATATCTATATATCATTGTAGTAAGTACTTCATTTTGACTGGGTATACATTTTTGGCCGCCATCTTGGATCCGCCATATTGGATACAAAGTTTTTTTCAAATGTAAAGGTAGGGTTGTGACCCATTATTCTAAACTAGAATTTTACGCTGATTACAATGCCGCAATTAGTTTTTAAAAATCTTGATCCGTTCTAAAGTTATAAGGACTTTTTATAACTTTATTTTTAGCTTATTTTAACATTGTGCATTTACAAACTAAGGCCATAATCTCAAAATAGTGCTAGATAAAGATAAGTATACACCACTATTCATTGTCGACCTATTTTCACTTGGTTATGAGAGATGTAATTTTTTCAGCCGCCATCGTGGATCCGCCATTTTGAGATGTGACAAATTAATTTAAATATGAAGGTGGTGTTGTGACCCATTATTTTGAACTACTTTTTTATGCTGAACTCAATGCCGCAATCGGGTTTTCATTTGCATATTTGGTTTTTCAATTATTGAAATTTTAAATAAGATAATTTTAATATTTCATCAAGAAAGCTTGATATCCAAAAACGGATTGCGGCATTGAGTTCAGCATAAAAAAGTAGTTGAAAATTATGGGTCACAACACCGTCATAACCGGGTCACAACTTACATACTTAAATTATTTGATCACATTTCAAAATGGCGGATCCAAGATGGCGACCGAAAAAATTACACCCGTCATAACCAAGTGAAAATAGGTCGACAATGAATGGTGGTGTATACTTATCTTTATCTAGCACTATTTTGAGATTATGGTCTTAGTTTGTAAATGCACAATGTTAAAATGGGCTAAAAATAAAGTTATAAAAAGTCCTTGTAACTTTAGAACGGATCAAGATTTTTTTTAAACTAATTGCGGCATTGTAATCAGCGTAAAATTCTAGTTTGGAATAATGGATCACAACCCTACCTTTACATTTGAAAAAAACTTTGTATCCAATATGGCGAATCCAAGAAGGCGGCCAAAAATTTATACCCAGTCAAAATGAAGTACTTACTACCCTACAATGATCTGACGTGGTCCGGAGTTGATATCTTAATAAATGTAGAAAAAAGTAGGGGGGGAACTCATTTAAAACTCACCCTGTATAACGCCGGGGAGATGTCACGTCTAGATGGTGGGGAAGAGGAGATACCTTCAGGGGAGATGAGGGAAGGGGGACAGTCGCCTGACCAAGGGGAGATCCAGCTGTCCGAATTCTCCGAGGATGAGAAATACATTTGTAGACAGTAAAAGAAGACGTTTTTGAAAACAGTAACCATATATTTGCATACAGTATTACATTCTGAGGACCACATATATTTCATCTTAAATTTAACAACACATAATTGAACATAATTATAACTTATTTGTTCTAATAAACGAAAATCTGTTTTGAAAGTCACACCAATGAGTATAAAATGGTGTTAGTCTTCAAATAAAAAAACACCTCCACCATAGCATGCACTCGAACCACCACCACCACACTCAATTTACATAAATAACAATTATTAATGAAAAGTATTTCTATTGAAGATAATTGAACGGAAATTTGAAATATTACAATCAGGATGGTTAGTAAAACAGTCAAAGACTGGTAAGGCACTGAAAGGATATTTTAGTGTTTTGTAGCATTGGTTAAAAATATTTCAACACTTATTTTTGGTCGTAGTACATCCGTCACTTCACACATTATAAAAAAACAAACTGAATATTTGTAAGAAACTAAAATTCAAAAATACAGTCAAATATATTTACATTTCAAAATAGGAATACTATTTTACAAAATTGTCGAACCTCCCTCTCAACATTATTTTGTAATCCCCTCAACTATGGTGGTTTGATACACTTAGACCTGATTCGGATAGACAAGCATAACACAAAACTGAACTTCAATACCACATATATTTAAGCGTTTATAATTAAAATGATAACTGATTTGAATTGATTTTCTACCACATCGAATCTACTTTCCACTTACATTTTACACATCCCGGATGTAGAAAATGTACAAATGACGCCAGATGTGACGAACTGCAGTTTATTGTCGCTAGGTACAATGTGTGGTCTACAGTTTGCAGGGGGTGGTGGGAGTTGGGGAGGGGGTGTCGGAGGGAGGGGGGCCCCGTCAGTGGGAGCAGACCGCCAAAGCTTCCTCTCTCTCTTCCAGCAGCTCCTTCGCAGTCACGTCCATCTTGCTCCGGGCAAACTCGTTGATTGGCAGGCCCTAAACAGTGAAAATACATTTAAAGTTTTAGGAAAGAAATAGTCAAAAATGTATAATATTAGTTTCTGGCTTAGTTGTTAGCGAGAAGTTTACAAATCCAAGGCAGCATTTTGGGTTCGTTTCTTAGTGTTGCAACTAATATTTATCAGTGTAATTCATTTTTATACAGTACCGACTAGCCCCCTTGCTTTGCTTAATATGTTTTACACACAGACCAGAGACCTATGTGAACAAGGTTAAAGATGCCACCTATCTCTTTTTTTTATAAATAAATTAGGGATGGACGGGTCCCGAAATTTCGGGAATTTTTCGGGAAAAAAATATTCCCGATTATCGGGACGGGATTACGTTTGACTCGGGAATTTTTCGGGACGGGATTTGGTCCGATCGTCGGCGATTTTTCCGCTTCGCGAGTGCCGATAACGCCGTTATTGCGAGCGATAGGTCCGCGAACGCAGGAGAGGAAGTCATTTCGACGATTACGCCGTGACCGCGGAGTCATTACGACGATCGCACCGTGACCGCGAGTCAAAACGACAGTCACGCCGTGTCCGCGGAGTCACAACGACGATCGCGCCGTGACCGCGAAGTCCTACCGACGATCGCGCTGTGACCACGAGTCATACCGACGATCACGCCATGTCCGCGGAGTCCTACCGACGATCGCGCCGTTACCGCGGAGTCATACTGACGATCATGCCGTGACCGCGAGTCAAGACGACGATCGCGCCGTGACCGCGAGTCATACCGACGATCGCGCCGTGACCGCGAGTCATACCGACGATCGCGCCGTGACTGCGGAGTCCTACCGACGATCGCGCCGTGACCGCGAGTCATACCGACGATCGCGCCGTGACCGCGAGTCATACCGACGATCGCGCCGTTACCGCGGAGTCATACTGACGATCATGCCGTGACCGCGAGTCAAGACGACGATCGCACCGTGACCGCGAGTCATACCGACGATTGCGCCGTGACCGCGGAGTCCTACCGACGATCGCGCCGTGACCGCGAGTCATACCGACGATCGCGCCGAGACCGCGAAGTCATACCGACGATCGCGCCGTGATCGCGAGTAATGACGACGATCGCGCCGTGACCGTGAGTCATACAGACGATCACCCCGTGACCCGCGAGTCACAAGTTACTATAGGTACCTGTAAATTGTTACCCATTTTTTTGGTTTTTATCGATCAGTGCCACAAATGGTAAAAATTGATTTCGTATGTCTTTTTTGGTAACTGCAATACAGTACTTTCTTTTTATGCACAGAAAAAATCCCGTCCCGTCCCGTCCCGAAAGTCGGGAAGGAAATAAAAATCCCGTCCCGTCCCGTCCCGAACTAAAAATTCAATCCCGTCCATCCCTAAAATAAATAGGCTATCAACTATTATTGTTATTAAGTAGAGATGGGTTTTGTCTGGGAAGTTGTTTTTCCCTGTAAATGGAAAAACTACTGAATCAACTGGGCTATTTTATGCAAAGACAGATGATGAACTTATTCAACTCATAGACTTTAATATTCCCTCGAACTATTACCAGTGGACGTTCATTGTGTTGATTTCTGGTGAGCAATTTTAAAATGGAGCATTCACAATACCCCATACCTGAACAATGGTCCACTTCTTGTCCTTGACAGTAACTGGGAAGCTGTACATGATGTCGGCTGGGACTCCGTAACTGCCGTCACTGATGACGGCCATGCTGGCGAACTGACCGGGGGTGGTGCCCTACACACACACACACACACACTTGGTTTGCAACAACAGTCTACTACATACTGAGCTAGGCCTGCTGAGGTGTTGAACATTTTATAGGCCTACTAAAAATGCTATCAAACTGCTATCAAAATTAGAAATCTTTGGATAGTTTAACACATGTGTCGGGCAATGAAACCCTCTGATTCAACTACTAAGATTAAGAAAAAAGTAAATGAGCGCTCTACGATCGTTGAGCTAAACCGCGTTGAATGTAGTCATCACGGTCAAAATTTGAACCCTATTGTGTGGCTTTTGTAATGTACTTGCCTTTGAAAAGGTGCTTGTACACTTTTGTATGAATTGTGACTTATTCTGTTATTGAGTGGAATTCAACAGCTATTTTCTTGCTATTGCAATATTGCATGTTACAAAAGTAATATTTTTTTAAATTTACTACCTTCGTAAATTCTATAGTTGTAGTCCTATTTTGAATTAGACATTTTCCTAACAAGAAGTCCTGAGATGTCAAAAATAAAGAGAGAACCTTATCAACAATGGGCAATGCACCTACCCCGGCCCCGCCTGCCCTCCTCCAAGCTCAGCTGATCCGACAGTCATGGTTAGGCGTTCGTCCCGCGTGCGGGATAAAAATAGTATTTTTCAACCCTGAGGAAGCGGAACGTTTTTTTTTTAGTTCAGCGAAACGTCTGACTTTTGATGCCATGGTCGATTTTGTGTTGTGCGTATGTATGTGCTTCTATGTGTTTTGACGAGTCATGGACTTCACAGACAAAAATAAAGGTGAGTGAAGCCCACAATAATCTTCGAAAGAGAACCTTATATATTACAAGTACAAACCTTACAAGAAACTTAACTGGATATAAAATTAATGGCCAATTGATACATGTTCTCTGAGAAAAAAACTAATTACAACTAGGTGATTGAAACAACAGTCATCCATATGACATTGAGGGGTTTATTTACCTGCCACAAAGTCTTCATGTGGTCACCAGCAGCCTTAGCAGCTGACAGTGCAGACGACATCTTACGAGCAGAGATCACTGCGGCTCCTCTGGTTTGGACGGTCTGTAAAAATTACAATGGTCTTAGTTACATAAGTTGCAAACTTCATCTAAACACTCCTCTCCATATCCATGTACTTTATAAAGAGTTTTGATTAGGTAAATATTTTAAAGATGTTTTTTAACACTCAATGAAGAAACTCAAATGACCAAGAGCTAGGACACCATTGGTACAATTTTATGAAATTCCGTTACAGTAGGCTTTAGGTTAGTTTAGGTGAAATAGGGTTATGTTTTTTCTTCTAAGTCATGTCTCAATTTTTAGTTTCATACAATTATTATAACGGTACATGTTTTTCTTGTAATCAATAAGAAATTATGACCAAAGAAAACATAAGCCAATGTTTGTGGAATTGAACAGATTATGTGAGGTCTGTACATATGATCAATTAACTGTTCTCACTGCCCACTGTATGCCAACTATAAGTATGTTTACATTAGAGTTTTTTTGTTTGAAGACATTTTTCAGGCATACAAATAATGTAACACACACACATTATTACACTTAGTAGGAATAAAGCAATCAGAAGAGGGACAGTTGAAGACAGCTTAAGAGGAGAGAAAAAGTAGGAAAAGCAAGACTATGGTTTGGACATGTATAGAGATTGCCTGGGAAAAGGACTTGACAGTGATAGAGAGAGGGGGATTTAGATGGAGGTGGATAAAGGAGCTGAAGTAACAAACAAAAGAAATATGGTGTAGTATAGGAAGAACTTTGGAGGAATATAACATGGAGAGGTCTATTTATGAATTATGACCAAACCTGAGAACAACCGGAACGGAAGATGATACCAATTACTCGTACTTACCTTGACAAAGTCATTGGTCAGCCAGGGGTCGTTGTTGAGAGCCTGAGGTACGGGCACGTCCTTGCCATTAACGTCCACAACAGCGTGAGAAGCGTCCGGGAACTGAGTGTTGGAGTGGTTACCCCAGATGATGGCGTTCTTTACCTGTTAACGAGATTGTAAAATCAGGCGACAGTTATTTAGTTCATAAGGACAAAGAAAAAGAGGGTGAAGTATACAAAGTTGAAAAACATTAATATTTTTCCAAAAAAACCTTTGAGTTCTAACGTTTGATGTATCGGACACCGTTGATACAAGACTAACATAACCAAACTTTCATTTACAATTCTATCTATGCATCTAGTATAACTCAACAATAACGGCTTAAAGCTAGACCTCTATACAAGTGCTGCAACCTGGGAGTCAATTATGTAACTACTAAGCTTGGATTTTCCGTTGATCAGTGTTCACACACATTTTAAAACTAGTGGCCATTTTAACATGGAATGTGTGGTTCAATTAATAATCAAGATACACCATTATGAGGGGGATCTTGATGTGGGAGGCCTAAAACAAACGGTGAACAGTTTGAGTGGAAGTTGACAGGACTGGGTGAATTTCAATGAGTAGTTCATCGAATCAAGTATTTTTGGGAATTTGTATTGTCTTTACTCTGTGCCTACTCAATGTGTTTATAAAACACGTAAAATTTGCTTTGTTTATTCTTCATAAATTAGCAAAGTGTTTAATCGCAGGCATAATTAACTCACTGGATTTCAGAGGGTTAAAACATCTTGCAAGTTGATGGCCTACCTTGTCCACGGGCACTTTGAGCCTGGCGGCCAGCTGTGCCTGGGCTCTGTTCTGGTCCAGACGTGTCATGGCGGAGAAGTTCTCCCTAGGTATGGATGGAGCGTACTTGGAGCAGATCAGAGCGTTAGTGTTGGCAGGGTTACCAACCACCAGCACCAACACACTCTTCTTGGCGTACTTGTCTAGAGCCTCGCCCTACGACAGGAGAATACTTTGAGATATCACAACAATGTTAGCTGTTCCATATATAAGCTTGCAACAGGGGTGTATTTTTCTGCAGGTTACATCAAAGGCATAACTAAAAAGGCAATGTTTGAATGTATGCCCCAAAAAATTATTATTATTTAAAAATTATTTTGAGACCTATAAAATAACCTATACTTTTTTATATTTTTAATGAAATGGCGACCATACAAACTAGGTATTTTAAGCCAAGTATGAATGGAGATGAGTGTAGGATGAGTAGGATCTTTTAGTCTTGTTAGTGACTAAGGCCGACATATTCCTTAGACACAGCTGTTAATTAATAGCCCACACAGCTCAGGCCCGTTTTTGACCATGTCAGCGCCCTAGGCACAACTAATAGTAGCGCGCCCTTAGCAATATATAACAGGGTGACCACCAACCGGGAAATCCGGAAACTAAGCGTGAATTTTTTTGAACCAGGAATTATGTGTTAATTTTCTACCTGGAATTGTCAATTTACAACAGTGATGTTTCCGTGACCACGGGAGACGGGAGGCGATAATATGTCTCCACAAGGCCTCGAGGGAGGATCAGAACTTTGCCGCGATCGCATGAGATGATAATAATATCTAAACGACCGCGGGATATGATCATGATTTTACCGCGATCGCACAATACGATAATGAGATCCACAGAGCCGTGAAGGATAATCAGAATATTGCCGCGATCGCATGATACGATGATAATGTCTAAACGACCATGGGATATGATCATGATTTTACCGCGATCGCGCGAGACTATGATAATGACTAAATGACCGAGGGATATGATCATGGTCCACACAACCACGGAAAACAGTCAGAAATTTGCCACGATCGTGGAAGACGATAATGATATCCACATAACTGGGGGATATTATTAACAATTTGCCGTAATCGCGGGAGACAATTACGATGTCTTCACGACAGCGGGAGACGATTACGATGTCTTCACGACCGCGGGAGACGATTACGATGTCTTCACGATCGCGGAAGACGATTACGATGTCTTCACGAACGAGGGAGACGATTATATGATGTCTTCACGACAGCGGGGGACGATTGCGATGTCTACAGGATCGCGGGAGTTACGATAATGATGTCTACTCTACACGGCTGCGAGGGATGATCAGAATTTTACCGCAATCGCGTTAGACGATGATAATGTCCGCTCAACCACGAGAAAGATCAGAAATTTGCCTCATTCGTGAAAGACGATGATGATCTCCAAACAACCGCGGGAGATGATTACCATTTGCCGCAATGGCGGGAGAGGATGACAATGCCTCACGACCACGGGAGGCTATGATGTCTTCACGGCTGTGAGGGATTATCAGAATTTTATCGTGATCACGCAAGAAGATGATAATGTCCACTCGACCCCGGGAAAAGATTACAATTTTGCGTCATTCGCGGTAGACGGTGATAATCTCATCACGACCGCGGGATGTGTTCATATATTGCCGCGATCAAGGAAGACGATAATTATGTCCACACATCAGCTGGAAATAGTCAGAACTTTGACGCGATCGCGGGAGACGGACGATGATGACGTATATACAACCGCGGTAAATAATTAACATCTTGCCGCAATTGTGGGAGACTGTTAAGGTGTCTTCACGGCCGCAAGGGATTATCAGTTTACCGCGATCGCATGCAAAAACGGCCACAATTTTTTTTTCTATTTTCCAACTTTTGGCGCCCCCCAAAAAAGCCAATTGCCTCGCGCCCTAGGCACGTGCCTACCTTGCCTATTCGGTAAATCGGCCCTGACACAGCTAATGGCAACTAAGGGACCTACAGTTTATAGTGGAATCCGAACCTCATTTTTGTCTTGGCATTATATATAGTTATAAATATAATGCATCGTGTACATGAACAAAACACGAAACACAGTCAGAATCAATATTATACTAGTTCAATATAAACGTCATGTGTATATCGTTCCATATGAGTGTTACTGTGTCATAGTTGCGTCAGGCTCGCCATAACACATGGATCGGTCCTTCTAATTGAACTATGTTGACGCAGCCTATACAAAAGTATGATTTTTGTACATTGGTGTCCTGGAATAAAAATTGATTTGATTTGAAGTGTAGCATGCCTATAGAGTTTTTATTTTAAAACTGTTATGTGTTGGTGTGTGTATAGTGACGAAGACATTCATTGGATGTTACGAACTCTCTTCAGATGTTACGAACTCTCTTCAGTTTTATGATCATTTTATAATGGGTCTTAAGACCTAATCCGTTGACTACTCGGTAAGACAAGGAAGGTTGGAATTTATATTTTTCAATAGGCTTTAATTATTTTGCCGAAGAGGTTATACAGTAGTGGAATTAAGGTTTAACTGAATTGTTATTGTGGTCAGATATCTGGTAAACCTGTGTATGGATAGTTCTCAGGCTCAAAACTGTTATGATATCCTGAAGCAAAGTGAGTTCAAGGTTAAGATGATTAACTTTAGAGCTGTCATGTCTTAACATTCAAAATAGCTTGATAAGTTTTCGTCCACACGTTTTAATGGGACTCATGCATGAAGAGTAAAATTAAATAAAGATTCAAATAACTTTAAAAATATTAACCAACATAGTGAATTAGGGGTAAATTCCAATTCAAAAACCATTTCTTTTTTTTTTTTTTTTGCTAAATATCGTTGATAGATTATGTCTGTTATTTGCAACACATATTTGTCTGATGAAGTCTGCACAGTGGAAAAAACCGAGGAGAAATCTAAACCTTTCAAGTCCAAGGTCATCAAAACTATCAGTTTCTTGGCACAGGTAGCCGGCTTCACATTCTCAAAATAACAGTAAACATGGCTTAGCTACTGAGCTACCGACTGTTAATGGATTTGTAGACAAAAAAACATTCTAATAAAGTACAAAACGAAATTGACATATGAATAGTCACAATTCCTTAAACCTTGATGTCTTCAACTTAAAGTTAATTAAAAAAAATTATAATAATAAAATCAGTAGTGGTAAAAAAAAATTGGAACAAATAATATTTGACCAATACAATTCTTTTTCTCTGCAAGTAACATAAATCTCCATTTGAATTTTTTGAATTTTGTATCAACCTACTCTACTTTTTAATGAAATGTAAGTTTGTTATACATGTTGGGTCTGGGCGGGGGGGGGGGGGGGTCTGGGTCCCATGTAGTGGTGGACAAATTGAATAACCAATGTTTTGCAGATTTAAATGAATTTTTAAATACTGTAATATAGTCATTAAAATTCAAGTAGGAATTTTGAATTTAATAAATAATCTCTTTTTTGGGGACTTCTACCTAACAGATATTTTTTAGGAAAACAAAGTTTTTTTTTGTTTGGCTAGATGATTTCTATACAGTTATTTCACAATTAATTAATATTGAATGAACGTATGACATTGAATGGTAAATTATTGTGGTTTATTTTCATTCAATTTAAGAAGTATCAAATCATTCTAAGAACAAAAACCGTCTAATTCTATACTTATAGATAAAGTAGTTTGCTCACATAATTGATAATTATGATTTGTATCTACAGTATTTCTATACTAAGAGAATCATAAATCAACTTCATGAGAATTCATATTGTCAGTATTGAGTTGTACTTTATGGGTATGTTCATTTAATTAGCAAATAACTCACAAAAATGTAGTCAGTTAAAAATAAAACATTTGTAGTTATAGGCTCACAAATCTAAACGTGATTATATTTTATTTTAGGAAGATTGAGTTGGCAAATTTAAACATTAGTTTTACAAGTGACTACTTGCTCAAGTCATTAAGATTAGATATGGCAGACACCAGTTGATTGTGACTACTATTTATATATTTGCTGCCAATACGAGTTGTGTAACAAGCATTGAAACTGAACACAGCTGGTACAAACTATATATACATTTTAACTAGGCATAGACTGAGATTGTTTATCACATTACTTCATGCTAGGCCTAGAGGTTGCGGCATTATCGCTAGATAAAGTATATTGGTGATTGGCAGGATTTGAACCCGGGACCTCAGGGACCGAAGTCCCGCTATGTACCACTAGACCAGCCAACTTCCAAACTAAAGGCAATGAATCACATCCATCCAACTTGAGCATAAGAACACATTAAAATAATTTTCTTGACCAAAGTAAAGATTGAACACTATTTAAACCATCTTTATACTATTTTTAAACCAGATTCAGTACAGCCTACAAATTTGTATTTCCATTGTAAAACCCATACAGCTATGTAATGAGAAGACATTATTGTTTGATGATAGGTCAGTTTCAAACAAAAATTGTATGCTCCTACATTTAAAATTGCATTGCAAAATTATAAAGAAAATACTTAATTAACTGTGCAAAAATAGTTTATTTCAACATTTTAGGATTAAAATACAGCCACTAAGACAGAGATGAGCTAAAAGTGACCTTGAAAAGATTTCCCAAGGTCTAAAATGATAAACAATGCCACTTATGGACCAGCATTGCGACCCGTGAGCCCATGTTAATTTTTTTTTATAGTATATTTCATCACTAGGGCCTAAAGTGGCTAACTTTTTACCCGAGGTCAAGTTTTATGATCGAGGCAAAGCCGAGGTCGGAATATGAGCGAGGGTTAAAAAGTCACTTTTTGCCAGTGTGTTGAACTATATTTTTAGTCATATTGCATCATTTATTAAAAAAACAAAACTAGAAAATTAAACTACACACAGGGGTAGTTACCCCCCCCCACCCCTTTACCAAACACCACAAAAACCAGTGTTGAGTATTTGCACAACCTGCCGCGGGTCTTCACTGCTTGTTATTGCTATTTATTTTTCTGTGAACCAGTGCGAACCCTTTAATTATGGGCCATCGGTTTGGCCGGCTCACAGATGATTTAGAGCTCAATTCCATTGTCTAGCGGAGCTCGCGGCATTGGCCGTGCTGGAGCTCGTGTGCTTGCTGCTTGCTGCGTTACCACTTAAGCACAAGACTCCGGTTTGAACAAA